CCTGTTGATCCATCCTCCTGGTCCTGTTGATCCATCCTCCTGGTCCTGTTGATTCATCCTCCTGGTCCTGTTGATCCTGGATCATCAGATCCTGACATGTCCCCGTCCTCTGAGGACACATTTTCATCTGTCCCTCGTCTCACTCGCCTCATTTCTGTTTCTTCCTCAGTCTCTGAAATTACAACGTCACTGTTAGAATGAAGATTATTGTTCAATAAAAATATGACGTGAATTATTTAACACTGTTTGTACCAAAGTTTAATTTAGAACAACATGTGTGATCACTGGTCAGGTCACTGGTCAGGTCACTGGTCAGATCACTGGTCAGGTCACTGGTCAGGTCACTGGTCAGATCACTGGTCAGATCACTGGTCAGGCCACTGGTCAGATCACTGGTCAGATCACTGGTCAGTGGAAGTTCTGCTGTTCTTCTCATCTGGTTCTGGTCCATGAACAACTGGTTGAACCTCCCTCTGTCTCACTCGTCCTCACTGTGTCTCTGTCTCACTCGTCCTCACTGTGTCTCTGTGAACTGTCCTCTCTCTAAATGTGTCTGTAGAGTGACATCAGTTTATTTTCTTGCACGTTTCTTTGACAGTTCAACATTTTGAGCCCTGATTGAAAATGTTTGTGCAGATTAAATTTACAGCTCTCACTTTGTGTTGTTGTGATGATGATGATGATGATGATGGTGCTCCTGCTGACTTGAGATGATGTCATTAATAAACAGTATAAATGACAGTAAAAGTACTTTATTAAAGCTTGCTTTACGTTTTACATATTTTATAATAAATTGTTTGGAAATTTATTTTTGCACAGTTAACACTTATTTTGTCACTGTTATGATTTTAACTAGAAACAGTTTCATTTAAATTAACATTTTAATCAATGAATTACAATTTTACAATAGTTGTCAGGCTACAATCAACTCAGTTATCAGGTACTTGGTGCCATAAAAAAATGACAAATACAACAATTATATTCAGTCTCTCTTGTAAATGAGTCCTCGTGGCTCAATGGGACGAACCTGTTTAAATAAAGGTTGAATTAATATCTTCTATAGAAATCATGAATTCATCCAGATGTTCTGAGGTAAGCTGGAGCAGATCTGATGCTGGATGGAGGACAAGGTGGAGCATTATCCTGCAGAGAACATCACAAATAGTTTTATAACAGGTGTTACTCTGATCTTTTTTAACGTGTGTAACGTTATAAAACACTGACATGGCTATATTGATCACTGTATTGCATATAAAAAAAATTCTAACAAATATGTGTTTGCAGTCTTGTTTCCTTCTAAAATTTAATGATAAATGTATCAGCCGCTTCTAAAAATGCTTTGATAAAATGCATAGTCTGTGAAATAATCAGTAATCGGTTCGTTACTGCTCAGTAATTACTGAAAGACACAGGTAAAGTAAGAAAAGTCGATTTTAGTGTAGTGTTGCACCAGCAGCCTCAGACTGACTGACAGGATGAACTGTTTGGAACTATTGGAGCTGCATGAACCACGTGACCGCGTATCGGCGAATTCAAAGAGTGTCGCAGCTCTCTCTTTATAGGGCTCTGGTAGAGTGGTGTATATGTGTTTAGTAGAGTGCTGTTTATGTGTGTAGTAGAGTGTTGTATATGTGTTTAGTAGAGTGCTGTATGTTTGTGTAGTAGTGCTGTATGAATGTGTTTAGTAGAGTGCTGCATGAATGTGTGTTTAGTAGAGTGATGCATGAATGTGTGTTTAGTAGAGTGATGCATGAATGTGTGTTTAGTAGAGTGCTGTATGAATGTGTGTGTAGTAGAGTGCTGTATGAATGTGTAGTAGAGTGTCTTGATTATATAGAAAGGTGCTGTAGGTACAGTCCATTTACCCTTTATTAAAGCTTATCACAAATTGTTAATTCCTTATATATGATCATGAATAATTAATTATCTTTGGTTTTGATATTTCTCTTCAGTGGAGTCTTTGGCTCTCTCTCTGATGGCAGGATTTGAGCAGTGCTGAAGAACCATCCATGTTGGAGGACTTTGTACTGGACTTTGATTAGTCTCCTGAAATGCTAAGGGTCATTTGTAACGAGTTTCAGCTCAAACCAATGAAGATGGATTCAACATTGTGAATGTATGTCATCTCATGTATTTAAAGTGGTTTGTAATTTTTTTATTATACATTTTGTTGATTGTTAATAATGTATTTGCATTAAGCACAATTAAAGCATGCACAGTAACAAACTTGATTTTTTTTACATATAAAAAGTTGCAAAAGATAAAGAAAAATGTGCAAAGATAAAAAAGAAAACTCCATTAAGAATGTCACCTTAATGTAAATTTTAGAACAAATACAAAAATCTCATGATCAAAAATAAGCGTGCAACATAAAAGCATAAACAAGTTAGTCATATTAAACAAAACTTTTTAATAAAGGTTTTATTAAAAGGTATCTATATAAACAATCAATTATACATGTTAACATGTGATTTTAACTACAGAATTTTAAAAGAGAGAAAATGTGTTTGACTCAATAAATATGCAGTAAAATTATTAAAATTTTATATGGTAATTGTTTTCCTACAGGGAAAAATTGACAAGCTTTGCCCTAATGAGATATAGGGGGAGTAGTGGCGCAGAGGTTAGAGAGGTGGGCTTGTGATCCGAAGATCGCCGGTTCACTCCCCGACAACATCAAAATTGTGGGTGGGGTAGGTGAAGCACCCAAACTTGCCCCCACCCTCATTCGCCCCACCTTGGGCCCATGAGCAAGGCTCTTAACCCCCCATCTGCTCCCTAAACAGGTCTCTCTTGAAAATGAGTTCTCGTAGGTATATGAGACTACCTGTATAAATAAAGGGTAGATGAAAAAAAAGAAAAAAAAATGTTTTTCACACACCACAAATTGTTTTTCTGTTTTATGCTTATTTTCTCAACATGGTGCAAGTGATGCCTACAAATCTTCAGGAAAAAATTAATATGATCTAAACTTATGAGAAATAATGTTTCACAGACGAGGCTAGTTTTAACAATTTTTGTGTTCAGTTTTTGCTAAAATGAATAATATTAAAAATACAAGAAGAAATTAAAATTGCAAACAGCATTGGAGGCCCACGCAGCAAAGCGCCGCTCCGGCTTTACAGCGACCACGGCAGCTCCAGCTAGTCCACCCAGTCACCATCGCAAACTCTCTCGTGCCAGTCCCGCATGCGTTCACCACGGGGCACATTTCTCGAATCTTCAACGTCGTCTTCCGTCCATGTCAGTACTTGTTCAGCTTTAGGTCTTACAAGTATAGGTGAAATCTGACCTTCCAGACAGGGGTTCTGTTGACTTCCTGTTTTCTTGCACATGTTTGACAAGCACTTCCTTTATGCTTTTCAACATGTCATGTGTGTTAATCAACAG